TTTTTTTCGTGGCAATCGTGTAAGGCAATTGATAGAAATGCATGAGTCGGTTCTCTTAAAATGGATATCATTTATTGAAATAGAGTAGTTGTATACAAAGAAAAAAGCATGCAGAACCCTTCTCTGTTCTTTTTTCTTATTTTTTTGCTTCTCTTTTTCTTTGTTTTTCATTCTTGAAACGTTTACGAGCGCCCTCCTTCGTTTCTCTTCCTCCTCTCTCTTTCGTCTACTGGCTTCTTCTCAAATTTCTGAATTTTTTATGCTTTGTTTTTTCTTTTTTCTTGTTATCTCCGTATCCTCTCTCTTTCACTCACACGAACACAGTTAATACTCTGGATAATGATATTGGTGACAACTATAAAACTAATCACATTTATGTTGTGCTTAATGCCTAAATATCATAATTTTTCCTTATGTTATCATGTAAGCATTTCTGAATGTTACATTCGCAAGTATAATAAAAAAAGGATACCTGCCTTTCATGAAGGAAGCCTGGATTCGATTCTCGACATCGAAATCATTTTTTTCTAGAAAATAGTCATAGTAAAGTTTTTCTGATGCTCATTAGAGAATTGCTAAGAAAGATAATTCATACATCAACATATTAATAACAGTCCGACGTGGTCTAGTGGTTAGGATTTCTGCCTTTCACGCAGGAGGCCCGGGTTCGATTCCCGGCGTCGGAATCTTTTTTGTTTCAGGAACGAAATAGGTTTGACACCATATTCTATAGATCACAATAACTAATACAGATGTTTCAAATTTCTCTCAAGAAAACTTTTGATGTGCACAAGGTAAATATAAACGATACATAATGGCAGTCTTCGTTACAGTTGAATGAATACTGAATTGAATTAAGAAAAAAAAATTGTCACTTTACGTGTGTCAATGATTTGTATGTACATAGTCACTTATTTCTTGTGTCTACTATGAAAAGTGTCTCAGGTAAAAATTATTAATAATATGCAACAAACTTCCATTTATGAGTTGCCATTTAACAATTATTATGAGCAATTAACAAATTCTGGTGAATATCAGCAAGTTCAATATGTTGATAACATGAATATGAATCTACAATCACAACCAATATATCAGACACCATTCCAACAGCCACCACCTTCTTATCCGACAGCTGTTCAGTCATTATCCTATCCAATACCTACGCAACAACAGCCGCTACCTGTATATAACAATCAGAGTAAAAATCTAACCTTGTTTTCATACAAGAATGTAAGAATTCTATTTTTAGACTTATCAACAAAGTATCTAACAGGTCCAGGAGTATTTCCTCCCAAACAATATAAATGGCCACGTCGATCGATTGCGCTTGTTTGTCCACGATGTGGTGCTACAGTAACAACACGTGTAGAAACAGAAATTACATTTATTACTTTTATTGGGTGTCTGATCTTATGTGTGTTCATATGTTTTTTGGGCTGGCTAGCACTTTTACTACCAGCATGTAAAAAAGTAATTCATTATTGCCCCTATTGTAACAGTATTTTAGGTGTACGACCTGAATTACGATAATAAAGATAAAAATTAATCAATCGCATTTTACGTTTTATTTCTTACAAAAAAAAATTCAACACATGCTCTGGAATGAATAGTTTTAATTATAAAAAATATATATATAAATAACAGTAATGAGATAACTTTTGAATGTGACTAACCATCAAAATCATCAACGTTAATTCGCATGGTATTTTGTGGTGATTTTCGACGTCCACTATTTCCATTTTGTTGATTACGATCATTTTCAGTTCGATTTCTTTCACGATTAATTCTTTTTTCTTCTTTTTCTTGTTCCATTTCTTGTCTTTTTATTTTATCAAAATAAGTATCAAAATCCTCTGTTGTTATATGTTCACCTTCAAGTATACCAAGAACAGTAAAATCAATTAATTTATATGGTTCAAGTTTAAGATTAACATTTGATGTTTTCACTTTTTTATTTGTTAGTAATGATGGATCAATTATCATCCATTGTCCTCGATCTGGAAAGTAACGTGCTATTGTTATTTTAATTATTTCTTTTGAATCATTTTTGTCATAAAGATTATTGTTGATAAATGATTTAAAATGTGATAAAATGTGATGTTCGAGATATTCATATTTAGCAGTTGTATTGTCTTGTATTGGCCAATGAAGTTCAAATTTATGTTGAAAATAATTATTAATATTATCTTTTGAATAAACAATATTAAGAAGTAAATCTTTTTTTGCTAAATATTCAGGATGAGGTAATATCTCAAAAGCATATGAACATAAATCGCGTACTTTAGCTTGTCTAAATAGGACAAACAAAAAAATAATGAATAAATGTTTTTAACAAGAAAAGTTTTACTTTAGAGTTGTTGGAATAGGTTCATGTACAATGGATGTTGGTTGATCATTTTCAATATCATAAAGACGAATAAATTCCAATGGTTTAGCATTGTTAATATAACTCGATGGAACTTCAAAATCAATAAATTTCGCTATATATTCACGAAGAACATTAAATGAAGATATAATTGGTAATTCAAATCGTTGCTCTAATTCAATCATTTCGAATATAGGTCGAGTATGAACTAGAAACAAAAAAACAAAAAGAAGATCATTATGTGTACGTAATCTACGTTTCTCGTAAATATTATTAAAAATTTAAAATGATACGAACAAAACATTTTATCATTGAACTCTTCTCGAGGAAAAATTTTTATTTATAATCGACAATAGATTTTATTTTCAGATAAATAAAGCGTTTGAAATAGACTAATCGATTTTAAAGAGAAAATAAAAGACTCGAATTTTTCCGAATATACATTAAAGATTTGTAAAACTCTTTATTTTACAAAAAGTCCGCACGTATAATTCGCCAATCAAACGGATATTTTGGTCATGAGTAGATCCTCATGAGACTAGTATAAACCTATAAGGATTTGTTCACATTAGAAGCTGTCAGGTTGTCTCCAGATCTAGATCTGATTGGGTTCAGGTCGGATCCGAGTCCGAAAATTTTGAACTCGACGAGCTTTAATCTTCATGCGCTGTTCTTTCACAAGTTAGTACAATTTTACTGAACTTTTTTTTATCTCTGGAAAGGTATTTGTGAAAAAATCGAATTACGAAATTTTACTCTGAAAATTTGCCCAAAGCTAAGTCTTGTGAATCTTAGAATGCCCTGAAGATTTCAATCCAACAGGATTTATTGCTCTTGAGATATCGAATGTTGAAAACAGTAAGTTTTCTTACCTTTTCTTTTGACACATAATCCTTTTTTGAATATTCAATGTTTCTAGAAGAACATATATTGAGGCTAAAATTTCATAATTCGATTTTTTCACAAGTATCTTGCCAAAAATAAAAAGTTTAGTAAAATTGTGATAATTTAAGAAAGACAGTGTATAAGGACAAATCTTTATAAGTTTCTACTAGTCTCGTCGAAGTCTATTTATCGGTAAAATAGCAGTTTGATTGACGAGTCACACTTAGGGAGTTTTTCTGATTAGTCAAAATTTATTCCTACTAGCTTCATTTGGTTTGTAATATTTGTTAATAATTTTAAAGACTTTTAATCGAACATGATTTCTCGGTGCAACACTGCCTGATTGCATGATTAATTGAGCACCATTTGTAAGTCCATTAACTAACAGTGTTTGATCAAAATCATTTAATGGTGGACCATCATTTATCAATGATGTTTTAACTTCACATAAATGATATTCATTATCATTACCTATAAGAAGAAAAAAAAACAGAAACTCATTCATATTAAATAAAAAAAAAAGATTTTTCTTACTGTCCATATGAAGTTCTTGTTTAATTAAATTCCATAAATCAGTTAATGTCATATTTTGATCAACAACAAGTTCAAGTGAATTAGGTTCACGATCAGATAGAATATAAATTAGAATATTATTCTCTTTAAGTGCTTGACCAGATTTTAAACAAAGATTTGTATTATTTTGTTTAAAATCAATTGTATCGACAGTTTGATGATCATAGACTAATATAAGGAAACTAGGTGATAAAATTTTTTTATATAAAAACAAAACTTGACGTACGAGGAATATGTGCTATATCAGAATCATCATCAATATGTAATCGACACATCAATGGATCTAATGATAAACCAAATGCTTGAATAGCCATTAATTTAACTTCTCCAATAGGCTACAAAACGAGAAAAAAAAAGGCAAAAAGTTTCGAAACGAAGTCGTTTTAAGTTTTTTCATTAATGGTAACAGCTAAAATAAATCGAAGAAAAGATTTCAGTAACTGAAATAATTTTCTATCAGGAGAAGCACATTTCAAATATCTAGTAG